ATTTCGACGTTTTATCGGCCTACTATGCGAGCAAAGTTCGCATCTCGCGGTGCACGGACTAGTCCGCGCTTCGTGGAACGAGATTACATACTTACGTGACTTCCGTTTTCTCGCCTCTTGTTTTTCCACTCGTACGTGCTGCTCTTTTCTTGTTCTTTATTTTGTTTTGTGGAAAAATTTAAAAAATTTCACTTATTCGTACGCTATAATAAAACAAATGAGTTATAATAATTGTAATAAGGCTTAAAGAAAAAAATAGCAGAAATAATAAAATTTTTACTATTAGCAAATTATGAATAAAATGAAATATGTATATTTGAATATTAATAGCAGAATATTAAATTTGATAAAAACAGATTTTTTATTTCACAATTTACTAAAAAAGAAAAGTTCTTGGAAAAATTAATATTGTATTTTATAGATATAAAAACGTAGTATGTAATTGTATATATCTATTTATTTACTTTCATTATATTACATTTATATATTATATTTTACTTATAAGATAATTATATTTAGATATAACAAAGATTAAACAAAGAGATTTAAAAATTTATAAAAAAAAATTTGAAACGAATCTTTTATTTCGATATATTCAAATCTTCGTAAAATTTATTTTATTAAATACTACCTTAAATTTTCTCCATTTCAATTTTTTTCAATATTTTAAATTTTTAAATTTTCTAAAATAAATCAAGATTACTTTCATTAATATATATCTGCATCATTATTCAATATATTCACTTTCAAATTAATTATTAAAAGATTAATTTTCACTTGTTTCTTTAAATTTCAATTTTCTTAATTTAAATTTCATTTCTAAAAAATGATTCATAATGATTATACAATTATTATATAATTTAAACTATTGATGATTTGTTATAAAGAATGCGCTAATAAAATTTTTGAACTATTCTCATCCGGAAATTAACTCAATGAAAAAAAAATTGTTCTCTCTGTTCAAAGAGTTTGACTCAATGAAATTTTATTTTAGTTAGTGATTTGTTAAATATCAAATTTTCGTTTGCTTAGCATAACAATTTTTCCTGATTCAAACTATTCGTCTATTGATTCTTCGAAATTCTTTTATTTGACAGTTCACATTGATTGCCGAAGAAAATTTGTTTGACTCTGATTTATAATGGAACACAGTTGAAGATATATCAGATAATATTTATATCGATTAAACATTAATTTTAACGAAATTTATATTTGATAATTTTAATTGCGACTTTCTTAATGTGAGGAAAATTAATCTTTTGAAATTTCGTAAAGATAAACGAATATTTAATTATTTTATGTCAAAAATAAATTTTAAAAAAAGTGATACATTTAGAACAAAAATGAATGAATATTTTAATTATGAAATGAAGTTGATATTTATTATTCATATTATTAATCTATTATAAGAAAAATTAAATTATAAAGAAGAGACATATGCCTATTCAATATCACATATAGCAGTAATTAACTTTGAATATTTTTTCTTCTAAGAAATTGATTGGATGATTTCTTATATTGATTATTGAATATTGATTTCATAAAATATTAATTTTGTTTAATATGGAAAATTAAAATACGCGATACAATATTCTTGGATTTAATCATTTCAAGAAATGATTAAGTAATATGATAATACAAACAATAATTCCTACAAATTTAAAAATAAAAATAAAATAAATTTTAGTGTATATTTTTAAAAAACAGTGCAATTATTAAGATTAATGGCTTTGTTTTTTTATGTTTTATAAAAAATAAAAAATATATTTAAAAAATATATTGTAAAGAAATATTTGTTTCAAATATATATAATATAATTTAAAAATATAATTTAATATAATTTTAAAAAGATTTTTTGATGTTGTCATAAATACAGAATATATTTAATTTAAATGTTTTATTCTATATAATTTAATTAATCTTTCATAATGAATCATATTCTGATATTCTTTAAGTTTCAATAACAAAAAAAATTAATGAAAATTTAATAAAAATTGTCTAAAATTACATTATTCTATAAATTTCGAAGGGACTATGAAATTACAATGAAGAAAAATGTCTTATCAATGTAAATTCGATAATTCACATTAAAAAAGATACCTACTAAGATTTTATTTCTCTCCATCGTATGTAGATTAAAAACGTCAAAACATAATTCGACACGAGTCGAAAGTTTGAAAAGATATGTATCACGTCGTTTACCACTTTAAAAAGTGCTCGAGACATGCGTGATTGTATATTTATGAACGTCACTGATGCAGAGAGTATAGTGGTTCCGTCTTCAATTGGTTTTGTTCAAGAAGATATTCGCGTCCTATGTTTTACACCGATCTTAAACCGCGTTACAAACAACGTTCGATATCTTCTGAATTTTACTGATGTCGTTCCGTCTTGTCTCCAATCATAAAAATTCATACGCCATATATAATAATATTCTTGTTTAGAATGAAGTATAACGATATTAAATTGATATCATTTGCTAAATCAATATTTATAAATTAAAAAATTTATATATTTGTTATTCTTAATATAATATTTTTAATTATATATAATTATTATAATTATAATATTTTTTAATTATTAATTGTTTTGTAATGTAAAAAATGAATTTGGTGTTTTTGTGAATAATGAATATAAATAATTTTAGTAATGATGGCTTATTAAAACATAGGCGGAGGAGGATCGTTTTGGATCTCGAAAAATAGAAATTCATACATGTGTATATTATTCAATCACATATTCTAATCACTGAAATTGAAAATAATAGAAATAAAAGAATAGAAAAGAAACTGTCATTAAATTATTTAAAATAAATCAAATAAAAACTAAATTATTGTTTAATTTGATCGAGGCTCAAAATATGAAACTTGTAACACCTTGAATTTCTTGAAAATTAAATCCGCTTTTATATATAAGATGAACCAGTTTTTTTCTTTGTCAATATATTCTATGAATAAAAATAAGAACAAAATATCATATATGTTCATATAACATTTTTTTATTTTTATTCGTAGAATATGTTGATAAAGTTTTGCAAAATAAACGGAATGGAACACCTTATATTTTGAAAGATATAATGAATTCACCTTGAAATAAATTACGTGTATGATTAAATGATAATATATAGGCTATTTAAAAAAAAAAACAAAAGTCGCTTTGAAATCTTAGAGGCTACTCTTACAATTAAATAAGATTTATATCCATTATAAAACGTTTTCCTGGAAACAGAATAACTTTTATTTGAAATATTTCTTCGAATAATGAATAATTTGTATGGAGAGAATAAAAAAAAAACATTTTCTATTAATCGAAAGTTTAATTTTTACCGAAAATTTAACTTTAATTTGATCAAGGTCACTTGACAATCGTATTATTCAACTATTTTATTATATTATCTCTTTTATAAATCTCTTCAAAATTTAAAAATAACCATTTTTTTTCTTATATATAGAGAATGTTAATAAATTTGTAGAATAATCTTTAAAGAATCGATTTTGAAACCAAAACAAATAGAAAAATTGCTGTATAGAAATATATAATATTAAGATTTGTGTTAGATGAAAAAGATGGAAATAGAATAAGACTACTCTATTTTTGTTACACTGTTGCCATATTTTGATTCAATGGATGAAAATATAAAATTTGAAGTTTTTTTTTAAATTGCAAATTCTTTTATTGCAATATACAAATAAATGATAAATAACCGTAGTTTTTAATATAAAATTTTATGGTATATAATTGAAATTAAAATTTTAATATAAATTTTTTCAAATATATGCTACTTGTTATAAATTTACCTATTTATATATTGAATTATGATATTTTTAAATTTTATTTTTAATAAAAAATTTTAATAGCAATAATAATAGCAATAATCTTAATTTTTTTTATCAACTTGTTTATAAACTTGGAAATTTAAATTAATGTTCGAATTTGATGTAATTATACTTATATTATAATTATTATTATTATAATTATAATTAATTATAGGAGTATAATTTAATTATAATTATTATAATTGTAATATATAAAAACATTTGTTTTATAAAAGAAAAAAATGTAATTAATAAAAAAAAAGAAAGAAAAAAAAGAAAAATTGCATATTTTATTAAAAATTTCCATTTATACAATATGATTTTTTAAATATTTGTATTAAATTAACAAAAAATTTTTTTAAATAAAAGTTAATCAATTGATAATATATTACAATAATGAAAGTTAACAAAAATTTTTTATTCGATAAAAAATAAAGATCGTCTTATTTATTTTTAATAAAATCATATATTTTTTTCAGTCAATCGATGCATTATTGTATTATCTTCAAAAAACTATTAAAATATTAAAATAGATAAAAAATTAATTATTTTTTGAAATTATAATTTTTATTCTGAACATTCATGTAATATATACATCGAAAACTATACGCCATTGCATTCTATTTCCGTCTTGTTTCATTTAATACGAATAAAAGTCTCCCACGAATGTAATTAATATCTTGTATATAATGTAATATAAGTAGTTAACGAGGAAGTTATCAATAATTGTAACGAATATGTTTTCCAAGACGTAATCTAAACAATATCAAACCAAGATCACATTTCCAAAAAAATATTTATTTATTCAAATAAAATAAAAAATCTTAATCATTTATTTAAACAAAATCGTATGTTTACATATAATGAATCAACATATATATATATATATATAAAGAATAATGTAAAAAAATCAAATCTGCGCGAAAGAAAATCAAAATCGGAAAAAGAAAAAGAAAAGAATTTCATAAATCGAAAATAATAGAACTATTTCACATCGCGTAAATCTAAAATGCAACCAGGCCCGTGGCAATTGCACACAATCGTGTTTCTATGGCTTGTTATCGCACACCGATAGGAAGTAGAAAAAAAAAACAGAGAATGGACGAGAGAAGAGATAGGATACAGATAGATAGAAAAGAGAGAGAAGGTGAAACATTAGTGCACGTGTGGCTGGTTGTGTTTCAGGTTGCAGCGAGGACGAGGCAGCAGGTGTCGTGAACGCGGAGGTGGGCGGAGGTTGCACGGCTGGGGCGCCAACCACAGGAAGTGGGGGTGGAGGTGGCAGCGGGACAGGTAGCGAGGCTGGTAGTGGTGGTGGAGGCGGTGGTGGAGCAGGAGCAGGAACAGGAGGAGGAGGTGGGGGTGGTGGCCGTGGCAGCGGTGAGGGCGGATCGACGAAACAGGGTGGCGAGAGGTGTCCCCAGTGCGGCTTCCTCTGTCGGGACGTCCACGTGCTTCAGCTCCATCTCGAGGACACGCACAAGACCTCGTACGCCATCGACAAGAACGATCTCAACGCTCAATTCCCCCAAGTGGTGAGTGAAACTAACGTCAAGGACGAGAGGACTCCATTGTTCCTTGTGTATTATCGATCATGCGCGACCGGCTTGCTGATTCTTCTTTATATATTCCTCTTTCTCTCACCCTTTCTCTCGCTTTTTGTTCATCTTTGTTCGCTTTTTTCTTTACATAATTGTTTTTTCTTGTGTTGGATGCCTTTTTTTTGTTTTAGTTTATTTTAAGATGTTCGAATAATAATAGAAAATGGTTAAGGAGAAGAAGCGAATTGGATTTTAAGAGGTTTAAAATATGTTTCGATGATGAGATTAATGATTCTTAAAATTGAGAATGATCTTTGTCTTATTTGTATAATGCTTCGTATAGAAATGGATGAAAATCGTTGTTTTAATTATTTATTATTATTGCGTATATATGCAAGAACGCATTTCTTATATTATTGTTGGATGTATAATTCATCATTAAATTTATGTAAAACAGTATCATCACACCTGTGCGATTATAAGATTTAAAGAGGTTCATTCTCGCGATAAACGCATGTCTGCTTTCAATGTTTACTTTAATATTTTTATTTGTCTTTATTATTTTACGCTTATAACGGTTAAATTAACATGATTCCAAGAACAAATAAGTTTTTTTATATTTTTCTATTTATAATTTATCTATTTCTTTTAAAAAATTTTAATATATAAAATTTATATTTTATCTTTATCGTTGTTTTTTTCTCTAAAATTAGATATAAATGAAAAAATTGAAATAATATTTGTTCTTAGTAAATATATAATATATATATAAATAAAAATATATAATAGAATATATATATAAGTAGAAATATATAAATAAAAAAAAATCATAATAAAATAGTAATTAAAAGAATCATAAACGAGAAAAATAATATATTTTTGAAAATAAATAATCATTTAATAAAAAGATTATAATCTATCAGACAAACTTGATATTAATATTAATCAATAATTTTTTGCAGTCCTGCAAGGTGTGCAGCAAAACCTTCGCCAACGTCTACCGACTCCAGAGACACATGATCAGCCATGATGAGAGTGCCGTGCTTCGTAAGTTTAAGTGTCCCCATTGCGAGAAAGCCTTCAAGTTTAAGCATCACCTCAAGGTACTACGAGTGCACCCTTATTTTTCATTTCTCATTCGTACATCGTTATTTTCGTTCTTTATTTTCCTTTTCATGATTTATTTTCACACAGCACTGCCTGACTTTGATATAATTTCTCCTATAATAGAATATTTCTAAATATTTAATTTGTCCATAACAGAATGTTTCTATATTATTTTATGTAATTGTCATTCCTTTAAAAAAAAATAGAAACATAGAATGCATTAATCAATATACTTGCACTGGAACGAATATTCCTCAAAATTAATTTCATATTCACTATTAGTTCTTACCATTGTTTCTCCATTTTTTTCCAATATTTCAATTTCCATTTTTATTTTTCCTTTTTGTTCCCAGGAGCACCTTCGCATTCATAGCGGTGAAAAGCCATTCCAATGTAACAACTGCGGCAAACGTTTTTCCCATTCGGGCTCGTATTCGAGTCACATGACCTCGAAGAAGTGCCTGATAGTGAATTTAAAGAAATCCAGGCATACGAATGTGAGCAACGTGGACCGCGGATCGAAAAAGGCGCAACAATCCCTGCCGCCGGGGCGGCGCGATGTCGATCTGCTTGCGGCGAATAATAATACTTTCCTCCCTATTCTGCCGAAGCTTTCACCCTCGGATTATCAGGAGATACAACGAGAAGGAGCGGGTAAGGGTCGATAACGCCATTCCATTTCACCATAGTCGTCTTTTGCATTTTGAATGATTTGTGAATTCGTGAATTCGATTTACAATCGAATACTGACTACGAAGAAACTGCTCCATTTGACTTTATTTAATTTTGCATCGAATAAGTGTACATATTGTTGAAATTTGCTTTATTTAAATTGAATTCGTAATTTATATCGAAAAATGTTGAGGAAATCTAATTTTTTAAGTATATTAATTATATAAAAAAAATTTAAATAAAGAAAAAAACATTTTTGAGAAATTTCAAAATTTAGATAAATTAAATGCTTTCATTCAAATACATTGAAAATTTTTGGTAAATATGAATTCATAATTTATTCTTTTTTTACGTCTCTTATTTATTTAATTTCTTGCTTTATAATTTAATTAAAAGATGTTAGTGTCAATATGATTTATTTTCATTCAGATTTTCAATATCAAATATTCAAAATAAAATTGTAAAGAAATGAAAGTTCAGGATTACCGATATTTTATAAAATATAATAAAATTTGTGATAAATAACTTTCAAAATTTGTATGGTGTACTAAAAATCTATATTTTGAAAGCATCATTCTAAGCAAGGAATTAATCAAATATTATATATTCTTCAACTTTGTCTCAGTATTCAATTTAAACACTTTAATTTAACCGCATAAAATAACAGTTTATGATATATATTTCTGTGATAGTTCAATATTCATCAATCAAACGTTTAATTTCTCAAAATAATGTCTATTGGAAAAAATAAGATGAAGTAAAAAAAGTAATTCTCATTATCCAATTAAAGTTGGCAAATTGTTTCGCATATAATAACTTAAACTTGGTAAAAATATACGAATTAGAAAAATCCATAATAAAATAAAACGATTTTGTTTCAGGTATTTACGATATGCCTACTCTTCTGCCACAAATGATGGGTTTCGGCAGTTATTTTCTGCAGACGTCGTTGGGCAAAATCTTAAATCAGCTACATTCCAAGAGATTGGACGAGGTAGCCGAGCAATTCGAATCTCATCGGGAACTTATGAGCCCGTCGACAGCGGATTCTGAGGGCACAGAGGGCACAGAGGGCAAAGAATCTCCGGCACCCACCGATCCTCAGGGTCTGGACGCAGTTCGGCGTATTCTCGAAACGGTGAACACCTCTGTAACGAAACAACTGCTCGAGGCGAACGTGCGGAAATTATCCACATCGCCGGCCACGATGAAACGGGAGTTTGAGGAGGATTATCAAGTAAGATGATGTGTTGATATTGTTATGAGAATTCTACTGTTCGTCTGTGAAAAGAAGGCTAGATGTTTATGTTTACGATGTGATGCGGATAATACATTGATCGTATATAACGAGATTTGCATCGTGATAGAATTGAGAGGATAGTGTTTATCGATAACCGAGATATTGATTAAATAGAGACACGTTTCCGGAAATTGAACTGAATAGATATACAATAGTGCCCAATAGTTAACTATTGTACTTTTTGTCCACTTAATTGTTACAGAATTATTTTTGACACTATGAGACCGAAAGTTTAATTTTTGAAAGTTTTTGAAAGATTAATTCTGAGTTTTTAAACATATGACTATAGAAACTTAAGATACGTATCGTAAAACAAAACAAATATTTGTTTGTCTCACTCATAAGATGTTTCTCTCATTGATCTAGTGACGCAAATGAAATTGAAAAAGAAATCGTTGATAATTTTTTGAATATATATTTTATATATTAATATAATAGAGATATATAATACATATACTAATATAATAGAGATATAACAGAATATATATTAATATAATATTTATTTTTAATAATTTAATTTAGTTTTACAAATTGTTATCAATTTTTAATTAGTGAGATGATATCAATTTAACATTTATTTCATTTGCATAATTATTATTTATTTATTATTATTAAATTATATAATTTTTTATTATATGGAAGTATTATTTTTAGAAATGCAATTATTTATACAATTATTTGTATGAACATGATAACTTTATAACGAAAAAATTTGAACTTCTAAAAATATTATTAAATTGTCTAATTTGTTTGACGGGAAGAAAAATGAAAAAAAAAAGTTTAAATTTTAATGATTGATTTATTATAGAAATTTTTTATATTTCTGTTAACCATATACTTCTTGATAATAATTGACGTCTCATAAACTTGTGTTATAAACAATCACAGTGTAAGGTGATAAGGTCAATTTTCTGTAATCTTTCTATAATATTATTCCAAGGTTATGTAAAAATCTTATTGATATATATTGTTCTACACATTATAATACAAAATAATATAAAATAACACAAAAGTAATAATACAAAAGTCAAAAAGTTACATCTATTTAGTAACCTTGAAAATCTAATAATAAAGATTTATTTTTATGAAATTTTTGTTTTATAAATATTTTTATTTATTTTTTTCACTTTTAATATATTTCAAGTATTTATACTATTTATTTATTAAAAGAATAATACAAAATTTAAAAAATTGCTTTCGATTCTCAAATTCGAAATAATGAAAAAACTTAATAGAAGATTAATAGAATAAAAAAGCGATAATTATCCAATAATATTATTTTAATATTATTTAAAAATATTTCAATAGAAACTCAAAATATATTTGAATTATAATATAAAGAAATTCATCATTAATTGAATAAGTAGTTGAATAAATAATTTCTGCTATAAATCATTTAAAAACGATTTTTAAAAGAATTTATTTTTCTTTTAATTAGATCACTCTATCAAATCAATGACATGCAATTAGAATCTTTTGATCACTAATAAACGAATTTATACAGGATCAAGACAGCGAGATGTCCAGCGAGATGGCACACTATCCAGATTGGTCAGCGACGGATCAATATGATTCGCAGAGTGAAGGTTTAGCGGCAAAACTCGAAGACGTGAATCAGCCCAATGCGAAATCAAGCTATAAAAGAAAAACAACAGAGGATAGTTCGGAGGCGGACTCGGAGGACGAGGAGGATGGTACACAGATGCACAACGATAATGGAAGGAGAGTTAGAGCTAGATCATTAATAGACGATGAACAATTGGCTGTTCTCAAGGGTTACTATGCTATTAATCCTCGGCCTAAGAAAGAGGAGATCACTATGATCGCCAACTACATCAATTTCCCTACTCGTGTCGTGCAGGTGTATATCTTTGCTTCAAAAATTTTCCAAAGAATTTGTTCAATTAATCTTTCACAAACAAACTAAATCATTGATCTAAAGAAAGTTCCTCTTTTAAATTTCTTTCCTATGAATTTATTTTTCCTCAAAGAATAAAATTTGACTTAACAAATGGTTATGTAATCTAGAGATATTAATAATTTTTTTCAAAGCTTTCCTAGATTTTTTGAAAGATTAGAATATAAAAGAATTAGAATAAAACATGAATAATTTCTATTTGAGTATGAAAAAAATATTTATTTAAGAAAGTTAATCTGTTATAATGTTATACGGCATATGGCATTAATATAATTATTATATAATCTTTAGTTTATTATATTATTATAATTTCTTCAAAGATTATAAATATATTTTGAATTTGTTTTAAATATTAGCATTAACTATATTGTGATATTATTATAATATTATTATAATATTACTGAAGTTATTATTATTATAATATTATTCAAATCAGTAGAATATTAAATCATATCATTGTAAGCTCATTATAATAATAATAGTATATATATAGGATATCTTATATTTAAGATACTAAATTTTTGTCGTTTTATATCAAATAATAAATAATATGAAAAAAATTTTTTAAATGAAATACAATATTTTTAGTTTCATGTAACGAAACAGCAAAAAATTCAAATTTAAATTATTATATTCAAGTGCTCTTAAATTAACATGGTTATAATGAAGAACATATTGTCGAAATAAAAAAAGATTTAATTTTTTTAATTCATTTTGTTTATTCATTTTTTATATTCAATCTACTTTATTTAAATCTAGTTTTATATGAAGAGTAGTTTTATATGAATTTATATGAATTTATTTTGTAAAATATCATTTACTTTCAACGAAAGTATAAACTATTGAAGATTTTGCATATTGTTGAGTTTGCTCTCAATAATATTTATTGTCAGTCATGCCTTCATATTCTGTTAATTTTCAAGTCTTTTGTTTTTATATTAAAAGAAATTAAATTTTGTAATAATGTAATGCGAAATACATATTATTTCGTTTTTGTACAATATTTTCTCTTGTGATGTATTGATTTAATCATATAGTGATAAGATCATTTGAATATATTGTTTTGAATTTATATTTTTTTGCTTTTCATTAAATATAAACAAAAATATTGTTAACATTTTTATCATCTTCAAATAATCTTAAAAATTTAAAAAAAAATTTATATCAATATTATCTATATAAAAAAAACAAATATAATAAAAAAAAAGTTATTATATTTTTTGTGTCATTTATTATTTGACAATTCTTCAAAAGAGAAATAGAAATTTGTAGACATATTGTATAATTATTTTATTAAGAAAAATACCATTCAAAGTATATTATGAACAAATTATTCATGTTCAGGTTTGGTTCCAAAATTCCCGAGCGAGAGATCGACGAGAATCGAAAATACCACCTCTAGTACCGTTGGCTAATCCGGCTAGTCAGACAATATACGAACAACCATTAGATTTGTCTAAGAAAGAAGCTCTTACAGAATCGGTACGCAAAGACAATAACACTGTCTGTGTAAAGTTCACATCTTCGTCTCCTGTTGAACAGAAGAACGATAATGCATCTTCGCATAATCAAGACGCGGATGATTTGGAGGATTCTCCACTTGTTATTGATGAAGAAACTACCGATTCTGTAGAAACAAAACGTACGGTTCCAACGGGAGAAATTGTTTCAAAGGTAATAATAAAAATGATGAATAAAAATTTATACACAAATAAAACAAAAGACAATAATAAGAGAAAGAGATAAATATTAATGATGAAATATAAAATATTTTATAAAAAATTAAGTTAAAATAGTTTTTATAAAAATGTTTATTATTAAAATATTTATTAAAATATTTATTTTAAATAATAATTAATTAATGCAAGATTTTGTATATACAGAGTCAACCTCAAATAAATATGAAAAACGAAAGTGAAAATACGAGTCAACCAGAGGCTTCGCCAGCAGCAGAAATTGAACAGGGTGTCTACTTTTGTGATCGCTGTGACAAAACATTTTCCAAACATAGCTCCCTAGCAAGACACAAATACGAACATTCCGGTATGTATAAAATATATATATCTTTTTATATTTGAAGAATTATTTAATAAAACATAATACAAAATAATCTTCAAATAATCTTGAAAATTTTGAAAGAAAAATTGTTTATTATATTAACATATTATCTATATAAAATATCATCATTTAATAGAACATCACATATTATTATACAATATCTTATGTATTATCTATTACATAAAAAAATACATAATATCTTATATTAATTAAATTCAGTAAATTTGTCAAAAAAATCATTTCTTCTCTCGTTAATATTCAAAATTCGCTGTATATATCTATATGTAAAAAAAAGTTATTAAAAATAATACCTTTAAAAATATATTTAATAAAATTAAAATCGATAAAGAAAATATCTTTTCGACAAATTTATCATTAAATATTAAAAATTAAAAATTATTATACATTAAAAATTTTATAGATAAGTGAAATTCCATTTATTTTTTCTCCTAATTTTTATTTTTATTAAAAAAAGTAATAAATATTTGATTTAAAGATTATATAATTTAATAAAGATTGATAAATAACGAAATTTTTTAATTTTTTTACAAAATTAAATCAAATAATTATCAATTGATTTAAATAGATAATATTAATTTTTAATTAATATGCAAATTTATTATATAAATTAATTAATTAAAAAATTAGTATGAAATTAATATATAATATATATAGTAAATATAAATACACATAAATATACAGTTTTTAAAAAATTAATAAATATTTACAGGGCAAAGACCGTACAAATGCGTAGAGTGCCCAAGGGCGTTCAAGCACAAGCATCATCTGACCGAACATAAGCGATTGCACAGCGGCGAAAAACCCTTCCAATGCTCCAAATGCCTCAAGCGCTTTTCTCACTCTGGCTCCTACAGCCAACACATGAATCATCGTTACTCTTACTGCAAGCCATATAGAGAATAGAAATATTTTCGCTAGTTGAAAATGAAGATTCTCTCGCTGACTTAGCTAAGTATGTACGGTCTTTTTTTCCTTTTTTGATACAGGATTCGGCATTTAAAAAAAAAAAAAAAAAAAAAAAAAAAAGAAATGCTTCGAACCGTAATAAAATACGTATATCATACGTATATTATATGTATATCTCCCATCAATGCAGAAATTATATTAAAAGAATGGAAAATAGCTTCGAAATTTTCCATGTAAGAACTCGTGCACGCATTTTAAAAATGAAAACGCTTGCGTGAAACGCAGCAAATAATTAAAGCCTAAAAATATTAATATTTAGCTGAAAAAAATTGAAGGAGATTATGAAAAGAAACAGTGCGATTTCTAAGAGAAAGAAAAAAGGATAGAAGATTAAAATAATGTGTTATAATCAATAACTGAAGATTCGATGATCGCGAAATTCTGTTTGAACGAGAGCAAAATCGTCCAAATGTTATGTGAATTTCTTCTCAAATTCGTTCTCGCGATGAAATAAAGAATGAAGAATTAAAAAATATAAAAGGAAGCAGAAAAATAAAAAATAATAAAAAAAAAAAGAAAAGATTTCGCAGCGACTTCGAGTCGACAAGCATTAAAAAAAAAAAAAACCAAACAATATGCAACGGTACCAAAAATGCATAATGCAATAATCTATTATATATTATATATAATATACATAATATTTTAGTATTTTTATTAACAAGATTATTATATATACCATGACAATAATAAGAAAACTAATTAACGTACAAATTTGTTAGCCACGTTCGCACGGGGCACGCGATATAATTCAATCGCGACGCGCAAACTGGCGAAGGGATATAGGATATGAAAAAGTTTCGTTTTGAAGGAGTTGCGCGTGTGCAAATGTATATTTCATGAAGAACAAAACAAATTTCGTAATATATTCTATAAACAAAAGAAATAGAATTTAGCAATGACAAGAGTAATTTTCTGAATATTTTTTTATCAAATTTGCTCTCACCAGTAATTTATTTATTAAGAAAAAAGAAATAACGATAATAAAAGTTACGAAAGAATAATGTTTAGTTCCTGAAATATCAGTCAAATAATATTTTTCAACTGATTACGCAATAATATCTTAATTCGTTCATTCATTATTATTCTTAAATAATAATAAATTTTTGAAACGTTTTAAAAATTCAAAATATAAAAGTTGATATGAAAAAGAACAAAAATAAAATGATAAGCTCGCGCATACAATTAAATAAGAACAAAAATTAAAGATATAATGTTCGAAAAAGATTGAAACACCGGACAGAAAAAGAATATATTTGAATTTAATCTGCTAAATTGAGAGAGCTTAATTCTGATAAATTATTGAGAATGGAGACTAGAATTTCTAGTCGTACATATGCTTTCACAATCGAGTGATTTTTTTTAAAACTCGATATAAAAAGGTTCGGCCAAATAACAATTTATTATATATAGCGTCAAGGTGTTTCTGGGCCTTATCTATCGGTGATCGATGCCATAATGAATAACTTTCGATCATTATGTACTTACTTTAAAATCCAAGTCATTGCATGATCCATAATGTTATGTGTGAGATTCGATTTGTAAATCAATAGTTTTCATTTTTTTTATTAGATTTCCTGGTCGCTTCATATTATTTGTATATAAATTAATTTTTAATTAACTTAATTAATAAATTTCTAATTATTTAAATATTTTATATATTTTTTCATTTTTGTAAATTAAATTCATATTTGTTTTTTTTAAATTATTAAAGTACGATAACTTAAGTTTTAAACTATTAAATATTACATATCTTCTCATAAAGAAAGATATACAGAATTAATTTAAAAAATATAACATCATTATATTTAATATTTGAATCTCCACGTATCATCATTCATATGAAGAAAAACGATTTAGAAATGAAATATCTTTCACACCCTAGGAAGATAAAAACAAAAATGCCTTAGACATTCCGTGAGAAACATGCTTTTTAATTATTCATAAATCATAAAACATCACTATGGCCTCTCGTACTTTTTGTCGAAGTCCGTTATGTCATCAGAGATTTCGATAGATGAGCTGATCATTTTCAGACATCTGAAAGGAAAATGGCATCGAGAACCTCGCAATAAAAAATTAAAAAAAAAAAAAAAAAAAAAAAATGTTATAAAGAAAAACAAAAAAATCCCTTCACCGAGATCCGGGCCCCGATCATAAACTCTAAGTATAATATTAAATGCTTCCAATACTGTACTATTAAAACAGAAAAAAATTATTATTACAACATTTTTATGATTTTATTCGTTCGGACACATAGGTAAGCGATATATATATATATATTATATATATAATCTACAGATCGATAATACTCGAGAATTGTATTTTATAACGGTTTATGCCTCTTTTTATTTACACGTACCACGAGTGACAAGTGATATATATATATTATATTATATTATATAAATATATATATTGTTATTGATAAAAATTGATAAAAAGAAACGATGAATTATACGGAGATACACGGCAAAGAATGTAATGTTTAAAGAGTCGCGCCAAAAAAATAGTGTCGTGTTCGAACGGGGCGCCACCGTTGCATTTCCTCCGCGTCTAGAAGCTCCGGTTATCCGCGATAGGCATCGTGTCCGTACTACGATAAAAAAATCCAGATATGATGCTTATAATACTCATTTATTATAGTGTTAATAGTTAAGAAATATATTTTTATATTATTATAATATTATGACACGATATATTATATATATATATATATATATAGTACTAATCGATCGCCGCGGATCCGTGAATCCGCGACGAGTCTGTTCCTCGGCCGGTACAGATACGCGAGAATCTTCTATTTTTATTTTCTAGTTTTCGAAACTCGATCGTAAACGATTTAACGTTCCTGTGCAATCTCTTTGTTATTTTTCTCCGTTATTTCTCATCATTATGTTACGTTCTTTATTTTCATTGACTTGTTTTTGTTTGTACGATTTCTTTATAACAATTTTTTAATCGTTTGATATATATTAATTTACCGGCATTCCTTAAATATTTTTACTTTCTATAATTTTATATAAAAATTTATTTCGTGTTAAGTTTTGCTATTAATTTGATTATTCTTATTTTCACACTTGAAAAAAACCTCAATTCTGTACTTTCACGACCAACGGGTTAGGACATCAAGAAGGAAAAGCAGGAAATTTACGAAGACAATATTACATACGTATAAGTGATTAAAAGAATAAAAAAATTATATATATAAATATATAAATATATGAATATATAAATATAGATATAAAAAGATAGAAATATTTGCTCTGATTCGAGAGTATTTGCAACCTGCTCGCCTCGATGTATGTATGTACGTATTATGAAATAACACACAGACTACAGTGTAATTTTGCCAGCTTTCGCTCATCGGCATCGATTATGTCTCCGTT